ATGTTTTTTTTTTTTTTTTAAATCAGTCCCGGTCATATTTGAACCACCTTGTATATTACTCCTATATTATGTGCAGTGGAGAAGAGGCGGTTTTGTTAGGCTGCAGCTTCCTTAACCCCCAGTGTCCTGAAGGTCCCGGTCATAACAGCTGTGTTTTCTATCCACTGTGATTTGTGACAGAGGGCTATACTTACATTGGAGAAACAGGTACTCTTTAGAAGGAAACACAAATACAGTCCGATTCAAGGTCTGGTTAAAAGAAATCAAAATTAGCTCAACATGAATACAAAGAAGACAAGGAATCAGCAGCCCATCTGATCAGTCTACCAGGCGTGGCTGTTGCTCGCATTTGGACTATGATCATTTAAGAGGAAATCAGGAAATTGAAACTCCCACAAGTTTTAAGATCCTATGGAAATATTCTGCGTTTATGTTGGTGTTATCCAGGTGTCTCATTTGTATAATATTGTTATGTGTTATTGACTGTATACAGGGATTGTGTCAATAATTTGATTAATTGAAAACTTAGAATTTGCTTTACAAATAAATATAATGCTGTCACTAATCTACATGCTTGACAAATCACTACAGCTCTCACTAAGTGTTCTCAGTATGTTGTGTCTTCACATGTGTGTTGCTTGGCAGTGACTTCCAACATTGCAAATTCCCTCTACTGGTTCCATGCTCAACGGATCCTGTCCTCTTCTGGCTGATGACTCTCTGAAACTCAGCTCACCGCATTGCTCCCTCAAGGCTACTGTTTCTTCTTTCCTTGGGAGAGGGCCGGTTCATCCACAGTGCCCTGTCACTCATTTTCCACAGTGTGATTGAGGACCTGACTGCTAATTTTACAACTTCCAGCTGTAGTAGTTACTATAGAATTCTGACGATGGTGTATAACACACTGATATATTGGGTTTTTGGACTATATCCATCATCCTGGTTTTTAAGATAACTAATAAAAACATGACGTTTCGGAAACTGGATCTGTTTCCGTCCTCATGTGAAAGAAAACACCTATTCTGTTGGGTCCGTTAGAAAGAGCTAGCTTCAATCACTGGCTAGCTCTTTCTAATGGACCCAACAGAATATGTGTTTTCCTTCACCTGAGGATGGAAACAGATCCAGTTTCCGAAACGTCGTGTTTTTATTAGTTATCTTAAAAACCAGGACGATGGATAAAGTCCAAAAACCCAATATATCAGTGTTCCTGCTGTAGGGTCTGCCCGAGGGCCTCATTGAGTGTCCTTTTGCCACCCAGACATATCTGCTGTTTCTCGCCTAGATCTCTTATGCTGTTACTGTGTTCCATAATCATTCCCTTATTAATGTGATTCTCGTGTCATGCAAGAAAGGCACAGTGGGTCATCTGTCCAATGGCAGTGGCAGTCCTGCAGGAGTCCATTATCAACTTGACTCTGTGATTTCAGTTTAACACAGTACCCTACAATAACTCCTTGGTCCTTAGTTGCTCCAGTAGTCTCCTTGTACATTGCTACTTTAGGGTCTCCATGTAGAACATTGACAGCCTGGTCCTGAAAGGCGGTAAGAAGGTGTATCCATGGCTTCTGCACATGGAGTCCCTTCAGAATGCTCCACTATGGCTTCAGTCCTTTCTTGATTGGCTTCTGACTTTTGGTATACCTCCATTATGACCATCATTTCATTGTGGGTGGCTTTTGTCTCCTCTTGATTGTCCTTCTTGTGCTTACTATGGTTCTGTCCAATCTTAATGGGCTTTCATGTCTTTTTGTTACAGCATTTGTTCCATTTTTGTAGTATGGCAACATAACTATGCAATGCAGTCTTCAATGCAGTAATTCAAACAATCCAGTCGAATCACACTTCTGACACCAGTTGTCAGATGACTAGACATGGGGTTTGGTTCAGTAATTAATTTAATGACAAGTTAGAACTCACAGATTCAAATAATTATAACACCGTAGCTAATCTACATGCCTAACAAATCACTACAGCACACTCTAAATGTTATCAGTTTACTATGTCTTCACATGCCAGTTGCTTGGTAGCTGCTTCCAACAATGTGGATAGCCCTTTACTGCTTCTGTGCCCAGTGGTTCCTGTCATGTTCTGACTGGCTACTCTCTCTCAGCTGCAATTTACAGCCTCCTAGCCATGACTGTCCACTCACTGGCTCTCAGTCACTATCACTGCTTGTTCAAGGAAGTCACTCGCTGTCTGGCCTCTGTAAGGTCAGCATGGACCTTACAGAGAACACCATTTCTAACAGTGTCTTAATTGTGGTGGCCATTGCCTAGCAGTGGGCTGGGTATTGTTATGCGTTCACCCATCCATTGCCACGCAAGAGACCATGTAATCGTGCAACAATATTGTCATGTGATTCAGTGAATATAGATGGGGTTTGGATTGGTAATTTGATTTATTTAACACTTACAGATTGTAACTGCAATTACTTATAGGGCTGTCGGTAATTCACACGCACTGCATTTCACTACAGCATGTAATAAGTCTTCTTAGTCTGCTGTGTCTTCACCAGTGGACGTTCCCCTGCTCCTGGGCTCATGTTTTCGCAGGCTGGTGGCCATCTCACATCAATCTCCTACTCTTCTAACTGCCATCTCGAGACTCCCCTCATATAGCCTTGGCACGGACTGCGCATGAACACTGCTTCCAGCAGTTGCTTTATTAGTTGATTGAAGGGTTATGCTACAAGCTGGAAGGTCACGGGTTCAAGTTCTGATGAGGTCATTGGATTTTTTTCAGTTGACCTAATCCTTCCAGCCACACTAGGCCCTGGTGTTTACTTAGCCTCTAACAGAAATGAGTACCGTGAATTAATTAAATAATTTTCCTAGGGAGTAAAGTGCGGCCGGCGCGTAAAGGCTCCCACACACAGATGCGATACAATTCAGGACAAAAACAGCTGTTTACCAAGTGGGCCGCCCACACAGATGCAACACTCGGGAATCTTTGACACCTGATAACCAGCTGGCCATCACTCACACTCAATCAGTATCTTTACGTACGTGAAACAACATGGGTAGCCAAATGGAACAAATACTAGATTTTGTCAAAGAAAATGCTTTATTGTACGATACTCGTCATCTGATGTACAAGGATTCGCGTGCTAAGGATAGAAAGTGGAAGGAATTGGCTGTTACAATGAACAGAGACAGCAAGTAGAAAAATTTGTATATATTTATATAGGGTTAAGTATACAGTAACTGTGGACATTCTTAATGTAGGCTATGCACCAGTTCCGTTCACTAACACGAATTCCAGGGGCAGTCATCTAGTTGAAGTATGCAACAGACTGCTCTCTAATAACGTAGCTAACGTTTGCCGCCCTTGGGAGATGTAAAGGCTGGATAGGGAACATTTCTCCTTCTAATGGCTCCACTCGTAGCAGTTCTTCCCTGTACTTTTCATCACAGTTTTTGAGACGTAGAAAATTATGAAGCAAACACGCTGCTGATACAATGTGTTTTATATTTCCTTCTTTCAGTTCTATGGGTCTCAAAAATCCTCCACTTCATGGCAAGAATAGGCCTCCGCCAATTGGTATACTGTTTAGTGATATCTTGCCTGATGGCTCTCAGGATTTCATCAAACCTGTCAGTATTCATCCTGAAACATATTAGAACCGTTTTTTGTCCTTCAGGGGTTGGGGTATCAATGTATAAAACTCCTCCAGTTCCTCTCTTAACAAGTTTATATCATGAACCCAAGTGATTTGTCTCTTTTGCCTAAAGTAGGAACACACATAGCAACCACTTATACGTACTTAATTAGAGACTCATTATGGAATTGTAAATATTTGTGTATATATGTGTGTGTGTGTGTGTGTGACATACTGAAAATGTGGAAGAAAAGATCTACGCAGATTTTGTATTCAGTAAAATACCTGGATTCACCTTCGTCTTCATCAAGAGAGGCAGCTAGAAGCAAAACTTCTTCCTCCAAAGACGGATCCATGACTATTTACCGCTGCGATACAGCGCGGTCTACTGAGTGTGCATGGTAAACCAAAATACCGAGGTGATATACCGACTGCGATAATATTGCGTTCCTCGGAGTCCTGCGCCAGTGTGTGGACCTCATACCGCAATGTAATTAGATATCATCCCGTACCGTACCGAGCTGAGTATTGCGTCTGTGTGTGGGAGCCTTAAGGCTGACAACCTTACCGCCATCTTTGAGCTGATTGTCTAGGTAGTGTGGGACCCTCAACGTCTCACAACCCTATGGGCCTTCATGGCCTGATACCGGGATAGCTTTACTTTTTTTTTTTTTACTTTACAGAGACATTACGTATCAGTGTTTGTTTCTCTGGCTCCACAGTTCTTCCTTTGAGCCAATGTGCCACAGTATTATCAGAATTGGTTTGTTTGCAGCTAGGTCTTCATTGGTTTGTAGGAAATTTTATGCATGAATTTTAATCCTCTACTTGTTCAGCTTATATTTATTTGTATTATTTTTGTATTTTTTTTGTATGTCTTTATATGTCTTATATGTATTATGTAAGATTTGAAAGGCCAGTACACTGTGTGTTATCATTGATTTTGTAGCACCTATAGTTGTCCTTTTTAGAATTAATTCAGTGGTTTCAGCTTCTGTTTCAGTTGGACTTCGGTTTTATGGACTTTGACTGTTGCATTATGCACAGCCACAGGTGGGAGGGTCTCATTCATTGGCTGTATATGTCTTTAAATTTATCTTACCTCCCACAGGTTGTTTCTCTTGTTTGGTTTATATAACCTGCTCTTTGTTGCTTCTGGTGTTCGGAGATAGGTACTAGCAGTATTGATTTGGCCCCACTGAGTAGGCGTTTTACTTGAGGAAGGAGACAGTTCATCCAGAAATGTCCATTTTAAATGAAAATAGGACCGTGGATGTCTGGAAAGTTAATTATTGTATTAATATAACATCATGACTGAACTTTAGATGTAATTGCTGTACTTGTTTATATGTTTGCATTGTAACGAATAACTCTTATGTTAAGCCAAATTCTTTTACAGTTTGTAGATGGAAACTATGAACAGGATCTACATCAGGCCATTCTTCTATCTAAGCTGGATTATGAAGAGAAGAAGGATCTGTATGAACAGTTAAGAAAGGATGCTGAAGAAGAGAAAAAGAATGCCAGCAAGAAAAACAAGAAGTCCAACAAAGCCCAGCCCATGTCTCTAGAACAGTTCAATAGTCTCCATTTAGATTCTGTTTGTGAAAGTGGAATGGGTGAGTCCATGATGAACAGCAAAGTGAATGAACAAGATAAGGAGTTCTTTGACAGAATTGAGGATGACACAAAGAAGGCTCTGGATAGAGAACAAACGTTAGAACTTAGGAAAGCTCGAGAGGTAGGTTTAACTTTATTTCACAGTTACAAATGTCAGTAGTACTGCAATACAGTAGTATTTCTACAATACCACAGGTAATAGATATATTTCTATATCTTGTCTTATATTTTTACATTTATCAATGTTATATTTTAGCGTCCTGCTACACTCATTCATGTCCATGGTTTATGCTGACCGTCTTACAGTGTATACACTTTTACACCTTATTCTTCACTTCCACACTACATGTTTCGGCACTAATGTGCCATCCTCAGGTGTCTTTATGCACGTTAAACTATTGTACTGCATGCCATAATGTCTTCATTCTAAAATGACTAAAATCTGTACAGAGCAGTACAACGCATGCAGTAACAGGAGCAAAACACAACACAGATATATGTAGGAAGAATGCTCACATAAAAGAGGATTGGCATAATTCGCATGTTTGAGTGCGACGTAGGAAGAATCCTGAAAAGTTTTATTATTTAGAATTCATCGTCCTATATGACGAATACAGATTTTCGTCATTTTAGAATGAAGACATTATGGCATGCAGTACAATAGTTTAATGTGCATAAAGACACCTGAAGATGGCACATTAATGCCGAAACATGTAGTGTGGAAGTGAAGAATAAGGTGAAAAAGTGTATACACTGTAAGACGGTCAGAATAAACCATGGACATTTTTACATTTAATTTTTCTGTTGTAATTTATTAATGCTATTATAGTCAAATCAAGGGGAATGCGATAGGCTGGGCATGTATTACTTGTATGAAATAAGAAATTCGTACAAAATTGTAGTTGGAAATTCAAAAAGATTTCACTTGGAAAACTTAGGTGTTAATAGTTAATAGAATGTACACAAGAACAGGTGTGAACCAGTTAAAGAAAGTTTTGTTTGTGTGTGTGTGTGTATGCGCGCGCGTGACCCTCACTCATCTGTTGTGCTTCCCCTTTGATTAACCCTTTATTCACCTACACTTTGGATGAAATGTACGACCCTATTTATGGGGACATCATAATGGTCACTTGGTTCCATGAAGTACTGGCCCAGGCGACAAAATCTTAAATAGTTATGGCCTCACAATCACATAGGATATGTATGGCTGATTCAGTCTTTTCTAGGCACCTGAAACAAGTGGGATCATATGCCTGTCCCAGTTTGAAAAAGTGTCTTTGAAGGTGATAGTGTCCTGTAAATAGTCCTGTCACCCATCTTAATTGGTCTCTGTTTAGCTTCAACAGAGGTGTTGGAGCTGTTCTCATTACTCCTGTTATTCCCAAGCAGGCCATCCTTTGCAGTTTGCTAAGTTCTGCTTGACTTGCCTTGAGTTTAACTCTAGGATATCATATAGTGGCAGCATAGGTAACCATAGGTCTTACCACTGCAGTGTATATCCAATATATATAGCCTTTGGTTTCAGTCCCCAAGTTCTCACAAATGTGCCTCTGCATATCCAGAAGGCTTTATAGGCCTTGTTGAAAACCTTATCCACCTGCATTTTCCATGTCAGTTCCTTGTTTAATGATATTCCAAGGTACTTGACATCACTGCATACCTCGATTCTTCTACTGAAGAGGGTTGGCTTCTTGATCCCCTTTATGTTCCTTTTTCTAGTAAAGGGTACAACTACAGTCTTATTTAAGTTGATAGACACATTTTTTCTTTCACACCACTGTTGAACTGTGCACAGGGCTGTTTGTTAAGACCTCTGACAAGTCTGAGGGAATTTCCCATTGATTAGAATTGCTATATCATCAGCATATCCTACCATGTAATACCCACTGTTGTTGAGCTCCCAAAGAAGATCGTACATGACCAGGCTCCATGGCATAGGCGAAAGCACACCTTCCTGCTGACATCCCCTGGTCACTGACACTCCCAGGGTCTCTCCTGACAATGTAGCAATTGTGTTCCTGCTTTCCAGCATAGCACGGATCCATCTACCTATTGCGGGCTCAGTGCCATGCCTTTCAGCAGCCTGTTTTATTGTGTCAAATGAGGTTCTGTCAAGAACTTCCTCTATGTCAGGGAATGCTCCAAGGGCAAGATCCTTGTGTTCAGTAGCATTTTCTGTGCGTGCTGCCACATTATGAAGTGCGGTTTCAGTGGATTGACTTTTTGCTAAGCATGTTGGTTTCGGTGAAGAGGATGAATTGTCAATACACCACCCTTAATATGCCTATCCGCTAGTTTCTCCATCGTTTTCAAGAGGAAAGACTATAGACTAATATGACATTAAGCCTTGACCTTGGTGTAATCAAGTTTCCCGGACTAAGGAATAAATGTCACTGTAACTTGCCTCCAGGCCATGGGAATAAATCCATGCGCGATGCAAGCTCTGTAAATATGCAGCATAGGTGTGGGACTAAAAGATCCATCCCTTGCTGCAAGAGTTCCGGTACAATTCCATCTGTTCCTGCAGACTTAAATGTTTTGAATGTGCCCAGCACCCATCAAATTTTTGATTGCTTGATCACATGGCTCTGACAAGCCATTGACCAGATTGTTGGTTGGCACACACACTCAACTCTCGATTATCCGGGGGTGGATAAACCAGTTTGCGGCTTAACTGGGGCTTTTTTGACGCTTATATGTTGTTTAATATTCATTCACCTTTATTCCACGTGGTGAGTTGTAACACTATTTTTGCATTAGTGTGAACTGAGCTCTGCATTTTTTGGTCCCGTTATGCTAACACGATGTTCTAGGGTAGGGGTGAAAGAATGCAAGGATTTGTGGAAAGTTTCAAGGACAGATACACCGCCCCAGTTAGTCTCTTTGTATCAATCTTCAAGTGCATTAGCAAAATGTCAGGGTGTAAAAGGAAGCATGTTGTGTTAAGTATTCAACAGAAACTTGAAATTATCAATCCGTTGGGAAAAAACAGGTGTAGTTAAAGAATTAACAATGCAATATGGTATTGGAGAACAAACTGTTCGTAATTTGAAAAAACAAAAGAATCAATTAATTTCCTTTGCTTCGTCTTCTAATTCAAGCTGAATGAAGAAGAAAACCATGAAAAAATCGACATATTATGATCTCGACAAAGCAATGCTGATCTGGTTTAATCAACTAAGGGCACAGGGAACAACAATAACAGGAGCAGTTTGTGCTAAACAAGCGAATTTTTTTTCCGAAGACTTGAACTACAAGGAAGTTTTGATGCTTCTTTCGGTTGGCTAACACGTTTCAAGCAGCGTCATGGAATACGAGAAATTAGTATTCAAGGTGAGAAATTGTCAAGGGACTTATCATCAGTTCAATTTTGCACAAATTTTGATAGTTTCATGAAAAGTGAAAATCTGTTGCCAGAACAAATCTATAATGCCGATGAAACGGGTCTTTATTGGAAGTGCTTGCCAACCAGAACTTTGGCATTTCAAAATGAAAGACAGGCTCCAGGTCACAAATCCAGTAAGGAGAGATTGACAGCCTTGTGCTGTTCTAATGCATCAGGAACACACAAACTAACACCAGTAGTTACCGGCAAAGCGAAAAGACCACGCGCTTTTAAAGGAACAGTAGCTTCAAGTCTGCCTATCCATTATTTTAACCAGCAAGGAGCTTGGATGAATAGAGCGATATTTAAAGAATTGTTTGATTTTAAATTTGTGCCTCAAGTTCGTGACCATCTAAAATCGCAAGGCCTACCTGAGAAAGCTGTGCTCCTCATTGACAATGCGCCCTCACATCCTAACGAAAGTCTCCTGAGGTCAGATGATTGAAATATTTTTGTGAAATGTTTTCCTCCTAATGTTACCACACTTATCCAACCAATGGATCAAGGAGTTATCTCAAGTATGAAGAGAATCTACAGATCAAATTTGCTACAAAAGTACATCGATGAAGGCAATGATCTGATGTGTTTCTGGAAGTCTTTTTCAATGTTAGATGCCATACATGAGATTTCAACAGTGTGGGATACAGTTAAGCCATGTGTATTGAAAAATTCATGGAAGAAACTAATGCCTTTCATCACTAATGAAGATGACGAAATCCATGGATTCATTGGATTCAGTGAAAATGATATAGCTATAGAATTGACAAAATTGGCTAACCAAGTTCATGGTGGTGAAGAAGTCAACAAGGAAAATATAAGATAGTGGTTTGACTCTGACTCATGTGAGCCAGGCTTCGAAATGTTAAGCAGTGACGAAATCGTAAGTTCAGTGGGGGTGCAGCCAGAAGAGCAGGAAGCACGTGAGAATGAGGAAGAGGTGGACAGTGCTGCTAGTAAGAAAATATCACATGGTGCTGCTCTTAATCATTTGGAATCCTTACTAGGCTATCTTGAGAGTGAAGAGAACAGTTTATTAAGTGACGAGCTAATATTACGTAGGCTATGTACAGATATCCGTAAAAAGGAAATGCCGTGAAAAGGCAAATGACAGTATTAAATTTTTTTAAGTGTTAAGTGTGAATATTCGTAAAAAGTGTTGGATGTTGTTGAAGACTGTGATTGAAATAACTAATTCATACTTCAGTGTAATGTAAAAAAGTATTAAATAGACCATGAGATGACATAAAAATGAGGTTGAATAAATTAAATGCAGGTAGGCCTATAGTATTATGAAGGTACAGTATTACAGTACTACTTTTAATAAAATTTGTCTTAACCAGGTTTTCGATTAATTGTGATTTCCGTCCCCACCATTATCCCCGATAATCGAGAGTTTAGTGTACATGTATATATATTAATATTAATTCACCTCCCTCGAGTGTGTAAGACTTTGGGTGTTGTAATCCTCCTAAAGAAGTCCCCCACAACTCCCTTCCCAGTTTCTGGATATTGTTCAGGTCATCTTATGTTAGCTTATCTCTTGAAGATAGCTATCTTTATGTTGGTCAGCACCTTCTTGTAGGTCCCTGGTCCCCTAGAGTCCCTGGGTCTTTTTTGGAGATCTCGTCATTTTTGTAGGAATACTACCCTCCGACCTAGGCCTCCTAAGGGTTTCGGTTGAAGTTTCTCTCTGCTTGGACGTGTCAGCTTTCCCTGGTTGCTGAATGGGGCATTCAGAAGTTCCTGCTTTGCTTGAATTTTCCATGTAATCTAAGTGGATCCACCAGTATGCTGAGCACAATATATAATGTGTGCATGCACATGTTGTAGTGGGTTTGTATTTTATCTGTTTTGCTGAAGTTGTAGATATTGAATGTTTATCTTGAATGTGCAGCACTGAACATACACTGTCTCTCCACTTCACAAGTTCCCTTGTTCCGTCATTCTTCCTGGTGAAGCTTGACCTGAGTTCATGTTGTCTGGGTAGGAGTAAGATTGAAACCAACAAAACCACTCCCTGCTCCATACAAATACATAAGAGTATCAAGAAGAACTCAGGCCAGGTGACCCCAGGAAGAGCAGTAGAACAAGGAAACATGTGAATTAGGTAGGTAGTGTGTGTTCAGTGCTGCATGTTGATATAAATCTTTCAGTACTTAACAACTTCAACAAAATAACTGTAATGTTAACCAGTGGATATGGAATCAGCCCTTTATAGTATATAATACAGTATATAATATATGACACACCAGTGGATCTACATGGTTTACGTGGAAAGTCTATGCTGCCAATAATTTTAACTAAATACGAGACCTTAAGATGGCACACACGTGCCGAAATATGTCACTTTAGACGTCAAACTCCTCCTGATGGAAATAGTTTCGCATTGACAGGAATGTAATAAATATTATCAATAACTCTATGTGTTATATAGAGCTAACTTTTGGTTATGAGCCATAAATATTTAAGTTTCTTTTATCTGAGGTGAAGTGAAGAACGCTGTAATGTTGTCACTATGTACCTATAAATACAGGAATATTATGGCATACTGTTGCGTTATACACCCAACATGTGACAATTTGGTGTCAGAATTGGTTTACGAACTTAAACACGCCACAAGTTGCAACGAATTATACTGCCACATGATGAAAATGGAATAAATGATGGAACGCCTGCTGGCCACTCAAGAAGATTTCCTGGCCAAAATGTACGCCGACTCGAAAGCCTGGCGATAAAAGGCAGATACTGATAGAAAGGCCTGGTAAGAAGAGATGGCAGTCTGGCGAGAAAAGACTGCCGCAGAAACGGAAGCCATCCAAGTGGAAACGGAAGTGATCAAAGCAAGGATGGAAGCCACGCGAGAAAATATGACCACCAGCCACAAGGAGATGGTTGCCGAAACCAAACCATAAAGAGACATGGGGACGATGGCCTGCCAAGAGATGGAGGCACATTCAGAAGGAGAAGAGCTGACCTCAGTGGACATGAAACCTGAGGTGGCAGAACAGTGAGAGGTACCCATAGTAGACGCCGAAGTAAAGCTGGTTGGAGAACCAAAGAAAAAAAGGCATAGGGACCAAAAACAGTGAAAAATGAATGAATGGACCCAGTGTCAGGATGGGTGCCGAGGAAGACTGGCCATTGCCTGCAGAGGAATGAGCCACCATGCAAAAGTGACACGGAAAACACAAATGGACCGGAAGGTGCCCCGCCGTACAGCAGTGGCACGATGCAGGACAGATACCTTCAAGAAGGAAATTACCCAGGGAACCTTCAGATCCCGGAGAAAGGAATTGGCCGTTGACAAATGTCTACACCATTGTGGGATGACCGTAACAGTGAAAAGAAACCAGCAGTGGGCAATGTTGCACCATGGTCTCGTACCAGCAAGCGGTGGGAAGACCAGGAGGAACGATGATGTCAGTGAATGCAGGCCACACTATTACGTTGACAAAGGGAACTTCTCAAGAAAGACATGATCAAGGATTGGTCACTATGGAGGGGTCGACCCCATCCGAAATGCAAAACAAAACAACGGATAGAGGAGGAGCCAGTAATGTAGAAGTACTGGCCTCCCCAGTGAGAGTGAATGTGCGATGGATGAGAGTGAGGAGTGAATGTGGGACAACAGATCGATGAACGCTGGACCATGGAATTGTTCGGGACGAACAATCTTAAGAAGGGAGCAGAGGATGTAATGGCTGGAGAATAGTTGCTGCAAGGAGTGGCCGAAACAACAGGAGACGCAGCAAGCACAGCCTTGGAAGAAGAGGAATAGGGATGCACCATTAGGCTGTTTGGGATGAACAACCTTTAGAAGGGAGCAGTGTGACGTATTTGTGCTATGCAGGACCCCCCCCCCCCCTCCAGCGGTGACATAACAGCATTGGAGCAACTGCTGCTGCTATGGTAACAAGCCAGTCAACACTCTGTCCCCCTCCCCCACAGTGACATAACAGGGTACACCGTGGTTACTACGCAGCTATAAAGAACTCTCAGTAGCGTTCCCCAGCAAGGCCTGTAAACATGGCGTTTACGCAACAGTGAAGCGATGTGGGTTTTCTGCTGTCTGACTGAATGTTTATAAGAGTTACTAGAGAGAGAGACAGTAACCAGTCAGTTGCAGTCTAGCATTTGCCGGGGTGAGTTGAAGTCCATTGTCATTGAGTGAATGGAAATGACTACAGGAGAAGTAATTGTGAAACTGCAGATGGCAGTAACTGTGTAGTTGTGAATTTTATAAGTGTAAGAATGAATGCAGAATAAGTTCGCTACATTCTATATGGTGTAAAGTTATTTGTCGCATGACATATACCCAACACGTGACAATACATATAAAGGTAAAGGTTAAGGTGTCCTTGTGTTTAATTAATTAAGCACTGTATAATCTTGGAAGTTATAGAAAGACAACACTGTTAAAAAACGTCCTTAGAAATTGACATCTTTTACATAGAGACTGCCATGAGACATTTAACAGAGATTAATTTATTCACTGTAACTTACGATACATTCGTATACTGCAGATTGTTGACAGAATGGTGAACTAGGTCATTTAGCAACATATCATGGCAGGAAATGTTTCAAAACATCTTCGAATGCTTTTTATATCTTCACAGGATTATTGTTGTGAGTAAATACCTATTGATGGTGTGTGTGGAACCCTTCCATGAGTCTCTTCCTGTGTTGTTTTTAGTTTTTGTTAATCAGCTATAAAATTTGTCTTTTCAGTCAATTCAGTTTTTCAAGCTGTGGATGATTTATTGCAGCCATTTATCCAAGAAGCCATTACAGTTGCACAGTTTGAAGATGCTCTAGAGGAAAGAAATAAAGAAATAAGATCATTGAAAGAAGAAGTAGTGAAACTCAAGGAAGAGTTACACAATGTTAAAACAAGAAACAAAAAGCTCTGCAATATTCTGGCTCTAGGAGAAAGTAAGCATTTCATAGTGTGGCTTATTTTAATTAAATATTGAATGTCCATGTTAATAGCCTTGAAAGAGTGTGGAAAACCAGTGAACAAAAATTAATGATGTTAGTTCTGTTCTTGGATTGTTACACCACATGGATATAGGTGATATTGTCAATGTTTCAGAAGTACATGCTGCCACCATATTCACGGTCAAAATATGTAGGTTGGTGAGTTTCTTTCTATATGCAGCATTCAGTTGAGTATGTGGATGAATGACCATGTGAGAGCATCAGTTGCTGATGAGTTTTTTGGTGCACTTGTAGGCCCTTAAAAGGCTGTCTGCACAACTTTCCTGGTCTGCTGTCTTTACTGGCCCAGATGGGGCACCATGACTGCCCTGTCTTCTTCCCTTCCCCTGTTACTTATCAGTGCAGTGCTCTATATACACAGACTCACCAATCAGCACATTTTGATCCTGGAGGCCTCATGTACCTACAACACTTTGGCAACATTGTCCATATCCACATGCTGTAACAGTCCAAGAATAGAGTTAACCTCACTGATGTACCACCATGAAAGTCTAAAGAAGTTGGGTTAAATTTGAACCTGTTGCTGCCATTCAGTTTAGAATTATTTTCTTTGTATCTATTGAGAATTAAGGGTTAAAATATACAAAACTGTCAGCTTACATGTTTTGTATCTTGATGAAACTTTGTCACCCATATTGTGGGAAGAACATACATTGAGCAAGTCTGAGAAAGGTGCTGAGGAGAATGTTGGAACCTAAGTAGGAGGTAGCAGTGGCAGACCCAAGAAAATTGCTTAATCAAGATCTTCATATTGTCATGTAAAAAGGGTAGCATGATGAATAATTGTAGATTCTAGATTTGATGATTGGATTTATTTGATGCTGTGTTACAATTACACTGGATTATAATAGACATTTACTCCTTCTGGATAATGAATCTCTCACTTTTGCCTGGATCTTGCACTGATGCATAGCCTCTAGTCTTCTCAAATTATGCTTAGCCCTGCTTAGCTCTTGAAAGCACGCCGATTCACTGCGGACAAACTTCTTACTCTGCTACTGCTACTGCTGCTACATTATATATGCTTGGTGTACCGAATAGGGGACTCTTTGAGTTGAACAGTTCAGCTATCCCTTGTCATGAAAATGACACCTCCGTTGTGCAGGAAATGTCTGTCTAGGTTGCTGCGAAAACAGTGCTTATCGAGCTGTTGCTCAACAGCTGACTGTACTAACTAGTCATCTGGATATGTGTGTGTCAACAAGCTGTTACCTATGGAATGGATTCACATGTCACAGTATTTTGTATTTTTTGCCAAAATCTTATTAATGTAATCACATAAAGGAGGATGGGGTGGGCAGCATGCGATGTTGATTGGGGATGCATGCATGGCATTGTTCAGGAAACCTAGGCAGAGATGGGATTCATTCATTCATCTGTAATCTGTCAAGACGACAGGTCCACAGTCTCTTCCAAAACAGTTACTCCACTTGATGCGATTTAGAGCTTTCTCCTTCAAACTAAAATATCCTCTTCTGTCCCCAAGGTCATCCAGCATCTTCTTATGTCTTCTTCCTCGTCTTCTGGTCACTTTTATCAACCCCTCTATCTTTCCTTCAAGAACTTCTTTTAGAAGGCAGTTCTGTGATTCAGTATTGAGGGGGTGGGTTTCCCCATGCACCGCGTCTGATAGTCTATTGCACATTCCCCTTTTAATTTCTTCCGTCTCCATCCCCTACCGATATTGGTGCTCGCTCTCAGTCCCTTTCTGCCAGTGAGGTTTCTACCCTCTGCTTGGCAGTGGTATCTAATAGTTAGTCCCTTTCTGTCAGCGAGTTAGTCCCTCCTCTGTCAATGATACCTAATACTTTAGCCCCTTTCTGCCAGCAAGGTTTCTACTCTCTACTTGGCAGTGATATCTAATAATTAGTCCCTTTCTGTCAGCGAGGTCATCCCTCCTCTGGCAGTGGTACCTAATACTTCCCCATCTATCGGAGGCATTGGAAACTATTTGGGCAGGAAACTTTTGGCCTAATTTAGCTCAGAGGCCTCCAGAGGCATGAGGTTCTTTTACGTGCCGTAAATCTACAACATGGGACCCACGGCTTAAAGTCCCTCACAGAGGACTTGTTCCCTGAATTTTTCCGCCCTTAAAAATTCTACGACCTCTGCCAGGTTTGAACCCACGTACCTTGAGTCATGAGGTAGGAACGTTACACCTAGACTATGGAGGCTGCTTAGAAGGCAGTTACCGCATAAGATATGACCAATCCAAATAGCCTTCCATTTTCTTATTTCGTGTAGGATATTTCTCTGCTCACTGACTCTAAATAACACATCTTCATTTCTCACATAATCGGTCCAACTGATCTTCTCCATCCTTCTCCAACACCACATTTCGAAGTTTTCCAGGTGTTTCTGATCTACTGCCCTAAGTGTCCAAGTTTCAGCCCCATACAAAGCAATGCTCCAAATGTAGCATTTCACTAATTTCTTTCTAAAATTTAAGTGCACTTTGCTTGTAAAAAGATTCTTCTTCTTGCTAAATGCAGCTTTTGCCATGGCAATCCTAGATTTAATTTCACACGTACACCTTCCATCATCTGTTAACAAGCTACCCAAATATTTAAAACATTTCACATTCTCCTGTTGTTTTTGGTCTATCTTTATTGTGACTGGGGTTGGTTGTCTCAAAATTTTCATTACTTTTGTTTTTTCCACATTCATTTCCATGCCATAGCACCTTCCAATTTCAATTAGTCTATCAATCATACCCTGTGGCACAGTTTCTTCCATAGCCATTAACACAAGGTCTTCTGCATATTTCACAGTTTCAATAATTTGCTCTCCTAATTTGAAGTCTCCAAGCCCGTCCAGAGCTTCTTTGGTAAGGCATTCGCTGTAAAATTTGAACAAAATTTGTGATAAATAGCATCCTTGTCAAACTCTTCCAATCTTCACACTTCTTGTCTCCCCTCTGTCCAGTCGCACTCAAACTTTCTGATCCATGTACAATTTACTAATCAATCTTCTTTCATGCCAGTTGATACCTGTTTCCTTTAGGATCTGCATTAATTTGGTCCAGTTTACACGGTCATATGCCTTCTGCCAATTCTATAAAGCAAGCACACAGTTTTTCATCTGTCTCCAAAGTTCATTCTGCTATAATTCTCATCATCCCNCCACTTTCATATATGGTGTTTATTAGTTTTGTCAGTGTTTTCAAACCACCTTCTCCCAGTAACTTAAGCACATCTCCAGGTACATCATCATCTCCTGTAGCCTTTCCATTCCTCATGTCCTTGATAACTTTTTCCACCTCACTTTGTAAACTATATGGTCCTTTCTCGTCTGTATCTACTTCTTCTTCCGGTTCCACTTCCAAGGTTTCTGGCCAATTAGGTCGATCATATAGTTCTGTTATATAATTTTCCCAAATTTTCAGCACTTGCCTCTGATCTACTATTCTATTCCCCTGGGAGTCTTCGATGCCAGTATTTTGAATCGCATGGTTCTCTTTCCATCCTAGTTCTTTTGTCTTCTTGTACATCAAATCATAATGTCCTGTCCTTTGAAATTTTATAATCCCATTACATATCTTCTCAAGATATTCCTTTTTGGCCCTGTCAGTGGCTCTTTTTCAATTCATTCCTCAGTCTCTTGTATTTCCTCCTGCCTTCTTCATTGTTTACATTCTTCCATTTCCTTCGCTCCTCCATTTTACTCATCATCTCTTGTATAACCCATGGTTTTCTTGCTGTCTTCTCAACTTTACTAACCAATTCGCTAATAGTATCTAACATCCATTCTTTTATATTGTTCCACTGAACTTCAGCATTTCCGCTTTCACTTTCAGTTGCACCGAGTTTCTCTTCTAGGGTCTCCTGCATGCTTTGTCTTTGAGCATATAACTTTTCCAAATCCAATGTGGGTCTGCGCTTTTGGAATCTTATAATTTTCTTCAACCTGGTTTGAAACTTGGCAACCACTGAGTTGTGGTCAGAGTCAATATCTGCCCCAGGAAGCATCTTCACATCCTTCACGCTGTTTCTGAATCGATGTTTCACAAGGATGTAGTCCAGCTGATGCCTCCTCCAATCCCCAGGTGCCTTCCATGTGTAAATTCTTCTCTTTGGCTTCTTGAACCAAGTGTTGGTAACAATCAGTCCATTTATTTCACAAAAGTCAGTAAGCATTTGACCCCTGTGATTCCGTCTTCCTAGTCCATGTGATCAAACAATATTCTGATATGGTTCATTACCCACAATGCTATTCCAGTCTCCCAATATGATGCTGTTTGTGTCACCTCTTCCATCATCCTGAAGAATTTCTTCAATTGCGTCATACACTTTTTCCACTTCATCATCTTCATACTCTGATGTTGGCATGTACACTTGCATAATCAGTATATCTACTGGTTCCGCCTTTAACTTCAGAGCAATAATTCTGTCATTACAAACAATCTTCTTAACTCTTTGACTGGCGCGGGCGTGTTTTAACGCCCGGACGATGCCAGCCGTTCCCTGGCGTTGGCGTGTTTTAACGCTTTGACAATCTCGTCCCTTCTTTGCTCTCTTGGCACTCATCAACCAAAGACATATTTATGATAGTTTTTGTGCATGTTTGTAAAGAACCCTTGTAAACTTTGTGGGGGTCTATATTACTGTCAGAACCCTCTGAGAAGGAAAAGGTCAGAAAATATTTCACATTCATTCAGTTTCACCATGGCTTCTTGCAGCAAGTGTCTTCGTGTTCCTACAGACCAGCTGGAAAATGTTGAGAACGACATTTTTTCTGATGATGATAGTGGCGATGAAATAATGATTCCTGAATTGGATGAAGTTGATAGTGACAATAATACAGTGATAGACAATGATCCACAAGACAGTAATCATGAACATTTACCTACCACGAGTGCGGTGCCTGACACGCCCATCTCATGAACGTACGGAGACATTGTACCCCCACTACTTCCATTTGCTAATAGTTTCAGGATCAAAATTGATATAACACATAAAATGCATCCCTTTTCATGGATTAAAATTTTTTCTGGATGACGACTTGGTAAATCACATCACAACTGAAACCAATCGCTATGCTCACCAGCACTTCAACGCACATGAGTTAGCTCCTCACTCTCGAAAACACAATTACAATTATGTCACATCAGATGAAATCTGGACATACTTAGGAATTGTGTTCATGACAGGAATCGACAAACGCCCTGAAATTGAAGAATATTTGTCCACTAGGCCCATATTTCACACCCATGGTTTGGACAAAACATGTCTTTGCGGTTGAATAGTTTCATTCTATTCAAAAAGAACACAACAAACGAAAAATACAAGAAGAGAAATTACAGATTCAAAGATTTTATATTGGACTGTGTAGAAAAATGACTGAACCAAACAAACAGTGTGGAGAGGGAGAAAAGTCAAGGAATGAAGTGGATGACGAATCTAATGGGTCAGACTAGAGTGCAGTCACGCCTCCGCCCTCGACCTTGAAAAGACCACCAGTGAAAGAGCCAGCAAATCGTCTAGAGGGTGTCTTGAAAATTCACAAAATGGTCCATGTTCCTAACAGTAACAATAAGAAGAATGGTGCCCTGAGAAAGTGTCGCATGAGTGCTAATTACAAGGTTAGAAAAGAAACAAGTATCATGTGTGCAGGCTGTGGTGTGGCTCTCTGCAAACTTTCATGTTTCAATGTTTATCACACGAAGAAAAACAAATAAAGAGGTGTGGAAAAGCATTTATTGCATAAAATATTGAATTTTAATTAGTTCCTAAAAATTTCGTTTTTAAAAACCAATTTTTGTTGAAGTTGTTTGGGAAAAAGTAACAACATGCATTTTAGCGACACAAGGTTTAAAGGGCCTGCCAGGACAGGGGTGGGATTTAAATACCCTTCGCGCCAGTCAAAGAGTTAACAACACTCCTCACTACACTTTTATGCACCACTATTGCCACACCTTCAGGATAGGGTTCAGGCTCCATGAAATGGGGAGATTTTCTCAACCAGCTAGATGACTGTTAGGTTAGGTTCCTGGTGTTTGTTACAAATGATACACAAAACAGTATACTTCACAAATTATGTTAAATATTTCTATAGTAAACTTCTCAGTATCTATCGTGGACTGGGAATGTGGTGTGCTTGTTGTTAGAGGCTCTTGCGAGGACCAAATACGTATTCAGAACACATTTTCGGTTTAGTTTCTGTATGGGAGTCTTCCTAGGTAACATGACAGCCAGTGGGTGAAAGATGTCATGCACATGTACTGTAATATGATGATAAATTCAGATAGCTTCTACTGTAATGGCATTTGATTAGGGTAGGACACTGGATATTGCTGCTAATTGTGGCTGGGAGAAGTACTACTGCTTGGCAGGTGAAAATATGCTCTTCACAAATTTGTTTTTGAATAACTTTTAAAAAGTGGTAAATTTTCCTTGAAATTTTTGCTGGTTGGATGAGAATTGTGGATGCTTGGATACTGGATAACCAAGGGTTTACTACTGCACTTCATTTCATTGGAATCAAATTACTTTTTAATGAGTATATTTATGAAACCTGCCAGAATTTATTGTAATATTTCAGTATACAAATGTTTCATGACCTCCTCTGTGGTCGAGTGGTCATACTTCCTGGCTACAGATCCAGAGGTCCCAGGTTCGATTCCTGGCGCTACCAAATTTTCTGAGAAGTAGTATGTCTGGAATGGGGTCCACTCAGCCTTGTGAGGATAATTGAAGAGCTGTTTTGAGGAAATAACAGCTCTGGTCTAAAAGACCGAGGTTAACAGCTATAGGGATCCATTGCACTGACCATGTGACCCCCTCTATCTGCTAAAGTTGGCACTAACTTCACTGACAAGCGGTGGTCACTCGGTTGGCATAGTTCGCTTGCAGACTACAGGCCACAGAGTTTTTAATACAAATGTTTCATGCAGTCAGATGAACCAGCAGTACCACCAAACTTTATTAAATTATTTGTTCCTTATAGACATCTTAATTTTTAAAAGGAAGCTTTCATTTCAAATTACATAGTTTAGGAATAATTTGTCAATTAGATGTAATGTGTGGTATTACAGATGTGTTACAAGTTTTGTGACATTTGTTGTTAGAAAAGAGAAGTGCTGTAAATATTTTATGCTTTCTTGATGACAGTGAAAGACAAAGCAGAAGCCCTGTTTGAAGTGGAAAAATTACGAAGAGTGAAAGATGAACTGTCCACAGAAGTGTCCAGCCTCCATGCACAACTAGAACAAGAAAGATCAAAAGTGCGTGCCCTCACCTTAGACTCTAAGAGCAAGGCACAGGTAACCTTGAGGTACTTCACAGTAAATTTCAGTATATTGTGAAATAATATCAAATCATGCTTATTATTTCAGTAATGAGAGGAGGTTTTTAATGTGAAAACTTCTGACTGCTAAGATTTGAAACATGTTTGCATCATTAGAGGCAAAATATCTGTTATTACCATTGCCCATTTACACAGTACATAAAATGCCTTCATTGCCATGCACGTCAATGATTTGTCATTCTCAGGAAGCACATATTGTTTTCAGGATTCATGCACTTTGTTTTATCATTTGTTCAGCAAATGATAGGATAGCTTACAGAAAATTCTTTACATCATAAGTCAACTTGAATTGTTCAGAGTTATGTATTATTTTTATTATTGAATGAAATTCCAGGTTATAGATCTTTTCAGTATAGCTAATTGACATCCATGTATGTCTGATACAAAACTGAAACAATCTCCCAGTGCTTCATTATGTTTAAGTTTAAGAATCGTGAAAATGTCATACTAGGTATTAACTCATTTTATACCCAGAAAGCTGTAGATGGCATAGCCAGTATAGTTAGAATTGCAGCCTGACTGGAGGTTGGAATATTGTAGGTTAGATCAGTTGTGAGAGAATGTAGCCAGAGGTATTCCTGAAAGCCATTCTCCTTGGGTCCCATCCTGTTCACTTAGAAAAGCATATATGTTCAATTTCTGCAAGGGAGTTCTCATCACTGGCTTCATACTGTATTTGAAATGTTCCCTCATTCATGTTGGGCATGAAAGGGTCCCACTTAATCTCTGTGTGCCTAACCTGATCAGATGTTTTCAGCATGAGAGGTTTGAATGCACACAGCTGTAGTGGGCTTCCAGTGTTGGGTATAACAATTGCAAATAGTGTGGGCATGGTGAGATACTGTGTTTCAGCCCACCTTGCTGCATCAACTGTGCTGGATGGCATGCACCTAGCAATAGGAGATCTCCCCTGTGTGTACTCAAGAAAGCTATCCAGGAAGTGAGAGTAAAAACAGTCTTTACTTTCTTGATTCCTGACAGTAGTTCTGGAAAGCAAGCCCAAAACCAGGCATATATACCTATTATATGCCATTCTTGAGGAGTCACTGCTGCAATACAAACATATGCAATTTCCAGTCACATCACCTCTTTTGTACTTGGCAGCACAACATCATGTGCTACAGTTGACCACGAAGGCAGAGAGATATCTGCACATACAGGTGATATGTCAAATGCTGCTAGTCCTGGTATCAGGATTCACCCCATCAGATCCCAGCACACAGCATGAATACACAGATTCTTGACTGTCACTAAGCATGCACCACACAATAGTCTGAACAAAACAGGTTTCCTGTTCATGGCCTCACATAGTCAGAAAAAAAATCAGATTGAGACTGCACTCATATGCAACCATAGCAAAACACTGGACTTACTGGCTGACAGCTGTGGCATTCAAGAAGGTATACATAGAGGGAGAGTCAGGTGATCCACCTTCAAAGTGCCATAGTTTTTTCTTCAATTGTATGAAATTGCTTTTCACAATTTCTTTTTACCTGCTTCATTTGAATGTATCCATTTTCCCTCACTTACCCAGCCATCATCTGTATATAGGAAATTTATTCTGTCCCTCTGACAAATTAATCCTTCATTGTTATGCAGCCCACTGTTATGACCATCTCTGCTGTCGTGAGGCCAGTGGAGGGACAGGTATTTTAGTTAAACGTTCAGCATGGTTTGACGTGTATGTTTCGTCAAGGTATTTAAATCGTCTGCGGGGGTTCGACGTCTATGTTTCGTCCAGCTGCACACCTATGTTATAACGCCCATAATAATTGATGGTTTTGCTGTAGATTGTTAGATTTTTCGCTGGCCTGTTGTCAGAAGGACAGTATATAATGAGACATNTGTGGGGGAGGGAAAAGAACTCATTCCTTCATGTATTATCGCTCCAGTTGACTCCATTTTATCGTACTGACCTTGGTGGTCGTTTCGAGGGATGACCATAAATAATTTTTTGAGTCAGCTAAGCTCTGCTTTCGTGCACTACATACCAGCCAGTTCTTAGAATAACTTCATGAATACATTTTTGTACATCCATCTTCTAAGAATTCCAATTGAGTGTGTTAGTGTGGCCAGCTCAGGGCAATATGATATTATAAACAGAGCACATATCACGTCTCTGCTGTTTATAAGTTCATAGGAAAGAAAACACTCCATCCATTACAGTTGGACCGACTAAACCTCTCCCAAGAGCAACAGGAATTTTGCTGCCAGACAGGCATATGTAACGATGAATTAGCGCAGCGAAACTCGTGTGTCATTAAATACGGTACTCCTGACAACAGGCCAGTGAAAAATCTAACAATCTACAGCAAATGCATCAATTATTATGGGCGTTATAACATAGGTGTGCAGCTGGACGAAACATACACGTCGAACCCCCCCAGACGATTTAAATACCTGATGAAACATACACGTCAAACCACGCTGAACGGTTAACAAAGAATAGTGATCAGATTTCTCTGATTGGAAGGTGTGTCAGGGGCTGAAATTCATATGTGGATTAATCACTATGAGCCAGATTCCAAAAGCCAGAGTATGGCGTGGAAACACCCGGGATTGCAAGCGAAGATGAAATTGAAGACTCGATCTTTTGTGGGAAAGGTGATGCTAACGGTTTTTTGGGACTCAAAAAGGCCTATACTGGAAGACTACCTGGAAAAAGGGTGTACGATCAACAGTGCAAGATACAGTGATTTGCTGGCCAACAATCTGAAGCTAGCAATTCGCACCAAACGCCGAGGTCTGTTGTCGAAGAAAGTGTCGTTGTTGCATGACAATGAACACTCACACAAGGACGGCCGGACTGTTGAAACCATTAACCATTTGTGTTTTGAGGTGCTGGAACACCCTGCCTACAGCCTAGATCTCGCCCTTTCTGACTATCATCACTTTGGACCACTCAAAGATGTTTTACGAGGTTTTTGATTTTCTGCGGACAAAGAAGTGGGGGAAGCGGTGCATAAAAGGTTGCGCAACCAACTGAAAACCTTCTTCGTGGAGGGAATACGCAAGCTTTTGGACTGCTGGACCAAGTGCATCGAAAAGGGAGGAGACTATGTAGAAAAATGAAGTACTTGTTCAACCCCTACTTTTGTATATATGGATTGGAAAACAAGAGTGCAGATAATTTTTTACTTACCTACGTATGTGCTAGGTTTGATTTTCATACTTCTAAACACAGGTGCAGATACTTGCTTTTTTCATGGGCCAGGAATCTTGAATGGTAATGATAATTACCATGTAAATCTTCACATCAGTATATCCCCTCCCTAGTCTTATCCCATCATCCAAAATGGATGATCAGACATGCTGACTAGGAGAGTTTCTCTCAGTCAGTGACTGTTAAAGACTGGGAACTTCCAACTGTCAGCTTCATGATCACTTCGCTCTGAGTAGCTTTGCATTGCATCCCATGGTTGTCCACCAGATTCCCTTGTGTACCTGACTCTTGGTTGACAGATGAACATTGGAGTGCCATTTTTGCTCAAAAGGTAGCTTTAATATTCTTCAACTCTCACCCACCAATGGAAATGTATTTGACATCTGTGTCAGGCTTAGTGCAATTTGTGTGAAGTTAGATGCTCTGCATAGGAGGCGTTTGTTTGCAGTCTTTCCCAGTTCACATTTTCGGGTGTTGTCTGGAATAAGCTATGACACATCAGTGAAGTGCAGTTGCACCTCTGTACCTGGCATATCAGTTTGCAGTGATAGGTAGCCACTGCCATTACACTTACAACTCATTGTACTTCTACAGGGTGTTCCTAAAAGAATGGTGGGGTTTCATTGCCATATATCCGCATCAGTTTTTGGTGATGAAAAGCAAAACATATACGGACTCATAACGCGGCTCTCAAATTTTCATTTTGTATATCGCGCTCTTTCCTAGGAGGCATGAAATGTAAGATGGCGACCCAGCAGGAGAAGGCCTATTGCATGCTGAGATTTGAGGTGTCTAAATCCATTGTTACAGTGCGCCGTAAATTTCGTGTACGTTTTTCACCACATGAAAACAACATTCGCAGATGGTACTGGCAGTTTGTGGACAGTGGATGTCTCTGTAAAGGCAAGAGTTCTGGGTGGTCATGTGTGCCACATGCAGATGTGGAAAGAGTGAGGGAGACATATCAGAGAAGCCCAAGAAAATCATTACGTAGAGGAAGCAGAGAATTGCAAATGCCAACAGTGACGTTGTGGAGGTTGCTGCGTAAGCAGATAATAATGAAACCGTACAAGTTGCAACTGTTGCAAGCTCTGAAACCACAAGACAAGGTAGCCAGAACTCATTTTGCTGAGGACATTCAAGAGAAGATGGAAGATGATGGTTTCCTGGAACGTCTCGTTTTCAGTGATGAAGCCACTTTTCATCTGAGTGGGATAGTTAACCAACACAACGTATGTATCTGGGGGACACAAAATCCCCATGCACAGATTGAGCACAAGCGTGATTCTCCGAAAATTAACATCTTCTGTGCTGTCTCTCAACAAAAAATGTACGGGCCTTTTTTCTTCACTGAAGCAACAGTGACTGGTATCACCTATCAAGACATGCTGGAAAATTGGTTGTTTCCACAATTGACCAAAGATTCCAATGACTACGTTATCCAACAGGACGGTGCTCCCCCACATTCCCATAGCATTGTGAGAGGTTTGCTTAACCTTTATGAGCCAAAAGACACCATATGGGGACCTTTAAAGTAAAGCCGAGTGGCTGAACGACACCGTATGGTGACTCGCAGTCCACATATGCACACAATGTTTTAAAATCTAATTTTAAGATAGAAATTCTTGTTCTACTTTCATTATTTTTGGACACCAGCTTTATAAGTAGACTGTCTTCCCTCCTGCATCATCTAACTGAATGTTGCCTTCATTTGGAACAGTTGGAAACATCCAGAAATGCAGAGTCCAACGTCGCACTTCACGCATTTTGTCTGGATGTAACTTCGTTTCCTACGCGAAGAGCA